TTTTACTAATTACTATCAGCTCAACAGAATATTACTGATTAAATGATTTTTTACTAAATTCTGTAAAATTTATAAAAAATGTAAGACCTTTGGCGCAGGTGTTTAAAGCTAATATTCCAAGCTATTTGCTGACGCACTATTGACTAATTCGCTTAGTTCGATACATTTATATTAGACCGAAATAATAAATAACAGTCTATAATTGTAATATGCTGCTTATCTCTTAATCAAGCTTGAATACTCAATCTTCTTTCGAAAATCTCCTAAATGTCGAAGCAATCGATGTATAACAATGCTACACACGCCGTATAGCAATCTTATATAGAAAAGCATGCAGATTAGCCAATTCGAATCTGCAATCATATTACATCATCACATAACTTCTTTTGCCTGATCTTAGACGTACGAGTACCAAGTCCAAATAAATAACAATTAGGTCTTCGAGTTGTCGCTGCCGGCGAACAAGTTTATCGAATCAAGATTAATTAGATCTAGTTAGTCACTTGTTATCCACTGATTTTACAAATCACCCACCCATCCGAACGGTTTTGGACTCATTTGCCACGCTCAAAATGCACAACCCACATGGGCTGGGGCCGGGCGGGGATATGCAAGCAAAGTGCTGCAACATATTGCAAATCCATTGTTTGCCAATCGAAACAGCAGCAACAACTTCAATGGGCCCACGCTATGTTGTGCCGGGGACTGGGGTACATATGTAATGGGCGTGATGGGTGCGCGCTGGGTGGTAATTGAAGAAGTAAACAACAACATCAATAACAACAAACACAAAACAAAAAAAAGAAAACAACAACAACAAAAGCACTGGAAAAAAGAGGCACACAACTGTTAACTGGACACGGTGGCCACCTGCTTGGGATTTGGATGACGACCGCTGCTCAACCGTTGCGATGAAAGTAAAAACCGCGACTGATCAGGCGCCGCCGAAGCTGCCATCGCTGGAAGCCAATGGACGGCCTAAGAGCCGAGCCGAGCCGAATGGAGACGAGCCGRCTTCGGCAAATACAGGCGCTCGACGAAGTCGCTGGAGCAAAGTCAAAAAGCAAACGCAGGGGTGGGAAAGGGAGGTACTGAAGACAAAGACACAAATGCATTCGCAAGTGCAAGAGACGTAACTAAATGTGCGTGCGTGTGTGTGAGTGCGTGTGTGTGCGTGTGTGCGTGGAAAAGCGCAATAAAGCAAACAAGCAAAAGTCATAATGCACACTAAAAAGCTGACGAATGCAATTGCCATGGCTAGGCTGCGCAGGTTGGACCAAAGCTGCCTCTTTGCCTGCTATCCCAAAAGAAAACGAATGCTTGGATCAAGTGTGAGAGATACATATGACAAGAGAAAGAGAAAGAGACAGAGAGAGAGAGAGAGAGCGGAGAGAGACAGGCACCAAAGCGTGATAGACACGCCGCAGACGCGAAATGAAAAACAAATATCCAAACAAAAACCAGTAAGAATATTGAACTTAACTGAACACAACTGCATAATGCCCGCTCAAAAAAGCACTTGAATGGAAGCTACAAATGACTTAATGAGCTATATAATGATCATGATTAAAGACCCTACCACATTAATATCCAGTAAAAAATATACATTCCTCGCTGGGTGATATAGAAGAGTATTAAGAAATCATTCAAAATTCTTTTCTAAGATTTTTTAGTTTATAATTTGATATAAATTTTTTATTTTTGAAATTTATGATTTTGTATACTTTTTAAATTTTGTGAGTTCAGGCTATTTTTAAAAACATGTATACTCGTCTAATTCAAACACAAATAAAGTTTCATTCAGACGAACGCTTTGTTAAAACCAATACACTCTGGTAATTTGATAAATGAGTACATTGTAAATCCGAGCCATGAACTAAGCGCACTGACCAGCAGCTACCAGGTGAAACGAACGAGTAGCAGTACCAATACTCGCCGCACTAGCCCCCGCTCCACTACCTCGGCCTGATATGCAACTGGCAGAACAAGCTCGACTTCAGCAACAGCCGCAACGGCAACAACAAAAACTGTCGCAATCTAGCAAAAATGGTCACAGAAACATTACAAATATTTTTTTTGCAGAGCAAAAGAGTTCAGTGGCAGTCGCACAATAAAATACAAACTCGAGGCAGCCACACCCTCCTCCAAGCTCCGAGCTCCGAGCTCCCAACTCAAATGAATGAAGGCGAATGATTTGTGAGCGTGTTGCAAACGATCTCAAACGATCTTAGGCCCAAAATAAAGCCTTAGCGAAGCTTAGTGAAAGGGAATGCAAGCTGCAAGACAATGAAGGATAATAATTGAATACATATATATTTTTAAAATTCGAACAGAGATTTCAGTATTTGCAAATGGTTTTCAAATGGTGGTAAATTCAGATTCAATTGCAACTGAGATAAATATTACTTTCAAATTAAAAAGTAAGATTGATAAAGATTCCTTTATTATTCTCATAGTCTGATCTGCATGTGCTATAGAAAATTCCACTGTCCACAAATATAGATAGAGTTTTGATATAGGATTCATAAAGGATCAAAAGCATCGCCTTCAATCTCTTACCTTCATTTGAAAGAAGCATTATACAATACAATATATACAATTGATTTCCAAATTTCAAAACGAAATACAAATTTTTGATACAAAAATATATGTTATAAATTTTGTGCACGTATAATTTGCAAAGCTTTGGCATATTATCGGTCAATTTGTATCTGTTTTACGAACAATAACATTCCATCAATAAAGTGAATGGGCTGTACAGTTGATACGCAAGTCTTGTAAGTATGCGTTGCCAGCTCAAATTACATAATATTGCTAAATCTACTGATCAATTGAGATACGAAGACAAATGTCCATATATATAGACCAAGCTATACACACGTATGTATTTCTATATACATACATACGTATATACATATATAAATTATTTATATTGTCAAAAGGTTTATGTGGCTTTTGCCCTTCTATGCACTTCTCATAAATTCACTCAGTGCACCAACTCTGTTCTCTTTCTGACTTGAATAGACTAGGTCGTTCAAAATTGTTTTATTTATATTCGATTTTACGCTTACCTCCGCTTAACTAGTTTCGTTTTTAGTGTCTCGAATTTTAGTTTGTTTTTTCCCAAATTATTGGCCAGTTACTGAAAATGAGTTATTCATAAAAATAATTTGTTGCAAGTGTTTGGCATGGCTCGGCTGAATGGTAACGCCTCTTAGTTAAGTCAGAAGATGTTGTTGCATGCGACTCGAACCTTGACGATTGACGGCTTAAGAGCGTGTGGCAAAACTTGTTCATGTCTGTGCATTTGCTTTGCACTTGGCCACAGATACAGATACAGATACGGATACATTGAAACTTTCGATACAGATACGTATATGCATTTTGTCATGGCCGTAAATCAGTTAAGGCCAACCTATTGTCAGTGCTTTGGCCTAGCCCTGGCCTCGTACCGCCTGCAGCGAGATCTATACTTGCAGCAGAGTTCATTTCGGTTCAGGATAGTACTCAAGCAAGTCTGCCAAGAGTAGCACAAAGACAATATTTGAAGAAAGTGAATTTATATTGGATAAACGAATGAAGCGTCTCTTGCACTGGGAGCAATGCTGGGTGAGAAACTAAATTGAATCATGGAAAAGATAAGATATATTAGAATACCTAAAAGACCTGAAAGACTCTTTAATATGATAGCCTAAATGAATATTTGATATTAGATATTTAAGCTTTGTTTATCGTTATCGTAGCTAGGTTTCCATTTTCCACTTCAAAATGCACTTAAATATTACGATCCTAGTTTTTTATCTGAGCGTGTTTGTAGTTTCATTTTAAAATCTTTATATTGAATATATTTCCATACAATTTGCGCTAAGGATATAGGAAGACTCGTACATTTACCCAATGGGGAATAGATTATAAATATATATTATGATGTACATTTAACGACTGCATAATTTCTCCGAGTGTAGCTTGTGGCACGAGCCGCAGCCTGACTGCGCTCGCCTTATGATTTTGTGGCAAGCGCCGCCGTTTCAGTCACTGGGCACATGAGGCAGGTGGAGCTGGCGGCTCGGTGGTGGGGCGGTTCGGGGCGGGGCGATGCAGGCGCTTGGCGATAGTCGTCATAAGTGAGTGTGCCAAAAAGTGCGCGAGTCTGTTGAAGTGTATGTTGTGTTGGCTAACCAGCATTGTGATGCAATTCGGCACTCAGCGATTACGCTAGCCCAGCTGTTAGCCAAATAGCCAGCCAGGCAGTTGGCCAAATAGCCAGCCAACCAGCCAGCCAGCCAGGCAGTTGGATAGGCGCTGTCGAGCTGCGGGAACAATGCGCATATTAAACGCAGCAAGCTGCTGGCTCCATTGCCGATTGCCCCAATGCGCTGACGACTCGAGCTCCATATTTATTTTCGGGTCGACAGCTGAGACGTTGTCAGCGAAATGCACTCATGAATGGCATGCGACGCCGTTTTGCAATCTCTTCATTTTTCTTGCCGTCTTGTGGCATCGTTTAGCAAGTTGCAGCAACTAAGCGAATGCCGTTGCATACTTTACAGCTGCGCCCCAAAGTGGTTTTCCAGCAAACTTTTGGGCGGCCCCTGACAATCAAAATGTTTCAAGCTAACCTTATCTTTCATTAGACTGTGAAAATGTGTTAGAACTATTTATTGGGCTAGGGTCGGGAATGGATCATCGAGATGACTTTTCAGTAGGCATTGCAGACGGTATTATACCCTATACCCATTGAAAATGGGCAGATGAAGGCGTGGTACTTAGAGTATTTATATTCTTGATCAGGGCGACGAGCTGAATCGATTTACCTCTGTCCGTCTGTCTGTCCGTCCGTATGTATGAATGCGTCGATCTCAGAAGATATAAGAGCTAGAGACTTGAAATTTTGGTAGGTAGGTATGTCGAATTTGTTTCCATAAATCGATAAGTAGTCCTATTTTTATTACTGATTAAAGCGCTTATCGTAAATTATAGATATAAAATAATATCTCTCATATCTTTGGAGCTAGAGCTCCCAAATATTAAACTTAGATATGAATCTTTATAGCTTTGATAGACTTTTGGGTTTTCTTAATAGCCACCCTATCCCCATATCTAGGCCTTTCTCCAAGCTTGCAAAAATTATATTTCAAATACTACAGACAGAAAATAGTTAAGTTATCGAATCTCGACAATCCTAGCTCTTTATTTAGTCTAAATGATTTATTAAAACAACAATTCATGTTGCAAAGGAATGATCATTGCGTACTGTAGGTATACATGAAACTGGAATCTGCTGTCTAAGCTCCCAAAAGTAGACATCTAGATAGGGCCTGTGCATAGGAATTAACGAATTCAAACTCCCATTGCAATACTGTACTTTTCTCCGTAATCCTAATAGATGATAATTATATTCGTATTCCCATATTTTACTGCTTTCCATGAGATTTCTCCCTAATACCACTAGTTGACATTGATAATTATATTCCGATGACTTTTCTTCTTTTTCACCGTGGTATAACCTTTCTATATGGTACTATTCTCCGTTATATTGCTCCCCGATGTGTCTAAGCGGATGTCTTTCCGCTAGTTCATATTGAAAATGATATTCAAATGAGGTACTCTAAAATACCGGACTAGCTAAAAGTTAACAACTGTTCACAGCTGCCCACTATATCTTATTAAGTGTGTATGTGTGTGTGTGCGTGCGTCGGTTGTTCCTCTCTGGCAACACTTTGATGTCGAACAGCGGGCGCTGGCGAATTATGATCGCTTTAGCGCCTAATGTCTAACGGTACAGCAGCCATTAGCAATGCGGCAAAGGCAATCATCATCAGGCCAAAACATACGCAAAACTACTTACACATCATCAGACCTCTAACCAAAGGTGTTCAGAAGGGGGCCTCGAGTGCTCACAAATGAACTGCGAAAATAATCAACAA